TCCCCTTGAACAGTTTTCAGAAAAAATAGCCCGTCCTACAACAGTTCTTGCTATCATTTATGCTGTCAACAATTGTCCAATTTGTATTGGTAACCCTGATGAAAGGTTCCATGAAATGTTGGAATCAAGAAATGGTGTGGTAAGAAGTAATGCGAAAGGTGCTCCTCCGATTGCACAGCGCCACTACATGCCCGTCACCGATCAGAGGGGAATTATTTACAATTATACGTTAAGGACTGTGGAATTATCACAAGTGATGAAAAAGACAGATGTGCTCCCTGTCATTCATTTAGAAATACATTGTTTGCCATGGTTACAAATGACCGTAAAAGAAAGGCTGGTAGTATGACTGAGAAAACTTCTGCCAGTAGTAGTGTTCCACTGTCGTCGTTAACTGCTAGTGAAATGCACAGTAGAACATTAAACATAATAAAAGCAAAGCGGCGAGCTGAGGCAACTGTGGGACGATTGAAGAATAAACTAAAGGAAAACATAATGAATGAAGGTGTTATTTTAGATAATGATACTTCCGACAGTCTCCAAGAAATTATGAAGATGTCTGAAAGCATGGTAGAAGAAGAGAATGGTGAAGGGTCATTTAGATGTTTATTTTGGCAACAACAAAAGGCTGCTCTACAGTGTCACGACAAGAGAGGACATAGATGGCATCCCATGTTCATCAAGTGGTGCCTAAACTTGAAGCTGAGGTCTGCTGCAGTATATCGGACACTCAGAGATTCTGGCGTACTTGAACTGCCTAATGAAAGAACACTAATTGACTATACCCAGTGGACTAAACCAACAACAGGATTCACCAGTGCTGCTTTTGAACAGCTGTATAGAGAAACAAATTTTGACAAACTTGAAGATCATCAGAAATATTTGGTTCTTTTACATGATGAGCTCAGAATCAAAGCAGACCTTGTTTTTGAGAAAAGTACCGGATCACTAGTGGGATTTGTAAATGTTGGAGATGTTGGTAATTCCTTGATGGAATATCAGAAAAATATAGAAAGTGGTGGTGCGTCTGGATCTACTCAAGATATTGCCAAATATATCCTTGTTTTCATGGTCCGCGGTGTCACAATACGTCTTCAATATCCACTGGCACATTTCCCAACAAACACCATCACGTCAGATTTTCTTCAGCCATTATTTTGGGAAGCTGTTGAATGGTTGGAGACGATTGGATTCAAAGTAATTGCATCCACCGCAGATGGTGCTTCAGCTAATCGCCGCTTCATTAGAATGCATGGGGATGGTCAAACTGATCAATTGGTGTATTCTACAGATAATCCATTTGCTGAAGATGTGAGAAAATTATACTTTTTTTCTGATGTGCCCCATCTGATTAAGACTACACGAAATTGCTGGGCTAACTCCGGATTCCATAATAAAAAGAGAATGTTATGGGTGAGTTTCTTTATAATTATTAATTATTTTTAACATTGCAGAATCGTGGAGTGATATTTGCTTATTTAAATTTATATGTCAATCCTGCTCATTAATTCATATTCATTTGTTGTTGCATAGAGCGACTAGGAATTAAATAATGAATACATGTACATTGTAGATTCAAGCAGAGTACATTAATGTCACGTAACTTAAGTACCGATATTGTTGTGTTGACATGTAAATTATTGTATATGTGTGGTATACAGTTCTTTTATAATAAGTCACTGTTCATTGATCACATACTTTACAGAATGGTGAACATATCACATGGAGTACAATTATTAATTTGTATAACGCGGACTGGGAACGAGAAGGACTGTTCCTAGCAAATAAATTGAAGTATGCGCATGTATATCTGTCATCCTTCTCTCGTATGAAAGTCAAGTATGCAGCCCAGGTAAGCTTTTTATAGTATTTATGGTTATGTCTACTTTCATTTTATTGTGATGCTTACATGCATGGTTTTAGATGGGAGTATTTGCACGTATGGAAAGACCAAAGGGTTTAATTTTAATTAGAGGAGGGCAAAAAAAACCATGGTTGACCACTTCTACAGTCATTGTGCAAGATACTCCCAATTGCAAGTTTAGAGTGTCTGCCTAGGAATTGTTACCACAGCATGCAGTTTTTTGAGATATTTAACGTTTGGTATTTCCTGGCTTAAAATGCCGAACAATAAAATGGAATTTCAATGTTTTAACTCCAAATTATTAAACATTAACATTAGACAACATTCTGATATTGGAATTCTTTTTCTCTATTTGGGCCAATTCCAACTTATGTCCACAGAATTTAAAGCAACCGCAAACAACATTGATCAGTAGTGTTTCCAAGTAGAATACTTCATACAGAACAATAACGACGGGGAGTATCTTGCACAATGACTGTAGAAGTGGTCAACCATGTTTCAACCATGAAGATAGATGATAGATTTATGCTCAAAATTTGTGGTTACTTATCAATATTCTGTGATATTATGTACATTTCTTAGGTTCTGAGTACGCGTGTAGCCAATGCCATAGAAACATTCTATGGTAATGGTCAACAAGCAACAGTGCAGTTCATAAGGAATTTTGACAGGTTTTTTGACTGCCTCAATGTAAGAAGCATGAATGAAGGATTATTTACCAGGAAACCAGATCTATGTCCGTACAGGTCTGTTGACGATCCACGGTTGAAAGTGAGTAATAGTTTACAACAGTAAGATAGCATGCACATGAGTGTGTTATATAATGATGTGCTGCACACATTTTGCATGTCCTATGCCCCCAGGCATGCATGTATCTCCTGAACCCAAGAGTAAAACACCAAGAATTATTGTATTTTGCATGCAAAAGGATGGGTGTGACTGTGACCTATTTATTTGAAGGATGAATGCCTGTAACAAAATTTGTTTTTATCTTTATTCTAGTGGCTGAGTAAAGACTTTCTAAAGTATCTTGCTGATTGGGATGAAGTTGTAGATGCCAGGGTGAACATATCAAAAAGTGACAGAAATCGAATGAAACTAAGCAGGGAGACTTTGGAAGGTATCCGCATAACAGGTATTGAAGCTGGTTAATTTCAAAAATTGTAATACATTGTAGCTAAATTGAGAATACCATATTTGCTCTGTTAAAAGAGCATCTCTAATAAAAGCACATCAGTTGCATTGTTTGTATAGTGATTCATCATAATGTGATGAATTTTTGTATTTAAAACATTTTTTTGAGTCAATTGACATAAACACTCTACATTGCACAACAAACAAGTACAAAGTCTCCACAAAAATATTACAATTTTTTCAGGTAGTCATGTCGATATGCTAGGACGTTGCTACATTTTTCATAAATTTTCCACATTTTTTTAAATGTTTTCCCAATTTACCTTTTCTGTTTGCAATCAAGTACTCAGTTTTCTGTACCTTCTGAACAAAGTCTTTAATTTCCTCAAATTTCCCTGACATCTGCAATATGATGCATTTTAGAAACACCTTCGCCCTATACATAAGAGCATGTGCCACTAATAAAACAAATACCAATAAGTATGGTTTTACTGAATGTAATTGCACAAAGCTGTTATGTTACAAAATAGTTAATACACATTTTCTCTCTTTCTCTCTCTCTGAAACAGTGAACTCATTTGTCGCCGTAACAAAGTACTTGCTTGGTCAACCTGGAATAGTATGTATATTGTCAGAAAGATTTAATTAAGACCCATTGGAGGCATACTTTGGAAACCAGCGGCAAATGAAAGGTGGCAATGAAGCTCCATCGGTACAGCAGTTTTGCTATAATGCAAATGCACTTCAGTTAAAGTCGTCAAATTTA